GTGCAAAGGTTTGCAACAAGATAGTCCCAGAGCAAGGGTTGTCTCAGGAGAGGTTTAAAAGGAAATCAACCTGCGACACTGGGGGGACAGGAGAGGGGGGGACATGAAACGACATAAAAAATATGAGAGGAATTGACAAGGTGGACAAAGAAGGATGTTCCAGGATTGGAACCCCAGTAACAAGGGGACACTTTGGGAAAGCTGAAACAAAATGAATCACAGGGATGTTAGGAAGTATTTCTTCAGCCACGGTAGTCAGTAATGGAATAGTTTGGGAAGCGTGTGGGGAGGCGGATCATACATGCTTTAAGCAGAGGAATGATAAAGTACGGTCAGGGGAGGTTTAGTAGGATCAGTAAAGAGGCAGGGCCGGACTCGGACTCGCCCCCCCGCAACCCAACTAGGTGAGTAAAAATTTGGCAAAATTTACCCACAAACCCCACCACACCACCCCACAGGGGAGGGTCAGGGGAGACAGATAAGAATAAAATTGGCGGAAATAGACAAGGTGGCCCAAAAAGCGGGAGTTCCCGAGAAGGGACACAGACAAAAGGTCCAATTGGAAGTTGAGATCGATGAAACAAAGGGATGTTTTGGAAAGTTTTCTTCAGTCATAGAGTAGTCAGGCCCTTTTAAATAGCCTAGAAAGTGCGTTGTGGAGGCGGGGGCCATAATAGTTTTAAGGCGAGGTATGATAGAGCTCATGGGGCAGGAAAAAAGGAGGACCCCGAGCAATAGCGAAGAGGCGGGGCCAGGGCTTTGATCGACCCCTGCAACCACAAAAAAGGTGGTACAAATGGTGAGTAAATGGGACAGCAACAAGGGGAAAACAGTTGGAAGTTGAAGCTCGGATGAATACAGGGATGTTAGGAAAATATTTCTTCGTCACGTTTTTCAGGAAGTGGAATAGTTGGGGGAAGCGAGTAGTGGAGGCGGATCCATTCATAGTTTAAGCAGAGGTATGATAAAGCTATGTGCAGGAGAGTGCCCAGTATGGCCAAAGAAAAGGCAGGGGCCCGGAGCCCTGACTCGACTCCTGCAAAAAAAATAGGTGAGTACACACCATGCGCCGCACACACATGCAGACCACCACACATGAGACACACACACACACACACCCCCCCCACACACACACACACACACACCACACACCACACACCACACACACACACACCACACACAACACGAAAAACCCCACCCCACAAAAACCCGCACACCACACACAAGCGCACACCAACCACGCGCCCACACCAAAAATGCGCCCCACACCCCCACCCCACACCCACACACACTAGCGCAACCCACACACCCGCACCACACACACACGCGCACACACACCGCGCACACACCACGCGCGCACCACACACACACGCGGGACACACACACGCAAAACACACAGGCGCGCACACACACACGCCCCCCACACACACGCGCGCCCAACACCGCGCACACACACACACACACAACCGCAACCCAAAACACACAACACACAGCGCGCCCACACACGCGCGCGCCACACACTCACACGCGACACACCCACAGTGTACGTGCAAGGAGCAGAGGGAGGTTTGTTTCCCAAAGGGAAAAAGAAATAATGGGAAAAACAGAAGGTCCTTGGTTCACCCCAAAAGGGGTAGGGAGGCAAAAAATGGTTACTGAGAATGGAAAAGGTAAGAAGACAGAGAATCGGAAAAAAAAGAAATCGCGAAGAGCCAGAAACGAATATGCACAGTAAGAGGGGGGCTCAGGACAATAGAAAAAGACTGCATCAAAAGTAAAAATGACCCCAAGTGTTGTAAGCCCCATCAGGAGGAAAAAAACAGTCAAGGGCCCAGGTAATCAGACTGGGAGGGTGATGGGGAATTCCAAGAAAAGACCAAGAGGTTGTCAGGGCTCAACACAAGATTTAAAGAGGTATTTTCGTGGAACCCAGTAGGACTCCAGGAAATCAGAAAAGGGGGGGGGCACACCCGCAATGTGCTGGAATGCGGTACATATAATCAAGGAGGAGGTGAGAAGCTGCTATGCGAACTCGACACCTCAAAGGCGGTGGGACAGGACAACTCCTCTCCATGGGTCTTAAAGAGGAGCCGAGTTATTGTGTGGAGCCATTAACAAAGATCTTCAACACATCACTTAAACTGTGGCAACTCCCTGAGGTATGGAAAATGGCAAATGTCCTAGTCCCAATTTTTAAAAAGGGTGGTACAGAACGAGCGCACTAAACTACAGGACCTGTATCACTAGTGTATAGTATGCAAGGTAAAGGAGAAGATAATCAGGAGGTGAGTGGTGTGGCACCTGGAAAGAAATAATCATGTGTATAATTGACAACCAGCACGGTTTCATGGAAGGACAAATCCTGTGTCACTAATACCCTACTAGAGTTTTATGACAAGGTGACAGAAGTAAGAAAGAGAGAGAGGGGGATCGACTACATATTTTTGGGACTGCAGAAGGCCTTCGAACGTTCATCACAATGAGGTTACTGCAAAAGCTAGAGGATCAGGCACACATAACAGGAAAGGCACTGCCAATGGATCAGAGGAAGAATACCTGTCCGGGAGCAACAACGAGTCATGGTACGCGACGTGGTGTTCAGAGTGGGAGCCTTGAAGCGGGTTCACAGGGTCAGTCATAGGACCTGTGCTGTTCTTGGTATATGTGAACGACATACTGAAGGGATAGGACTCAGAAGGGAGTGTCTTGTGTGCAGATGATGCGAGTTAATGAGGAGAATCATCGGCATGAGGATCAGGCTGGGACTACAAGAGACCACCGGACAGGCTACAAGCCTGAGTCACAGGCAACTGGGCTCCTTGAATTTAACCAGCCAAAGGCAAAGTCATGAAGATTGGGGGAAGGGCAAAGAAGACCGCAGTACAAATATAGTTTAGATGGCCAAAGACTGCCAAACCTCCCTCAAGGGAAAAAGACCTGGGGGGTGAGTATAAACGAGCATATCTCCTGGGCGCACATCAAATCAGATAATGCTGCAGGCATACGGGGCGACTGGCAAACCTACGGGATAGCGTTCTGATAATCTCAGTAAGGTTTCGTTTAAGACTCTGTATACCATTTATGTCAGGCCCATACTGGAGTATGCAGCACAGTTTGGAATCCACACTAGTCAAAGCTCGTCAAGAATTTAGAGAAAGTGCAAAGGTTTGCCAACAAGACTAGTCCCCAGAGCTACGGGGATTGTCCTACGAAGAAAGGTTGAGGGAAATCGGCCTGACAACACTGGAGGACAGGAGGAGGTCAGGGGAGACATGATAACGACATTAAAATACTGCGCGGGAATAGACAAGGGGAAAGACGGGATGTTCAGAGGAAGGGGACACAGACCACAAGAGGTCACAATTGAAGTTGGAAGGACTCAGATGAACAAAGGGATGTTAGGAAAGTATTTCTAAGTCATAGAGTAGTTCAGGCCGTTGAATAGCCTAGAAGTGACGTAGTTGAGGTGGGAACCATACATAGTTTTAAGGCGAGGTATGATAGAGCTCATGGGGCAGGGAGAGAGAGGACCTAGTAGCAATCAGCGTAGAGGTGGGGCCAGGAGCTGTGAATGACCCTTGCATCCACCTATAGGTGAGTACATAATAGGTGAGTACACAGCGACACCACACACACCACGCAGACACACACACACGCAGACACACACACACGCAGACACACACACACACGCAGACACACACACACACGCAGACACACACACACACGCAGACACACACACACACGCAGACACACACACACACGCAGACACACACACACACACGCACACACACACACACGCAGAGACACACACCACATGCAGAGACACACACACGCAGAGACACACACACGCAGACACACACACATGCAGACACACACACATGCAGACACACACACACAGACGCACACACACACACGCATACGCGCGCACACACACACACACACACCACACACACACACATGCAGACACGCAGACACACACACACACACACACACACACGCAGACACACACGCAGACACACACACGCAGACACACACACACGCAGACACACACACGCAGACACACACACGCAGGCACGCGCACACACACACACACACACACACACACACACATGCAGACACACACACACACACATACACACACACACACACAAACACACACACATGCAGACACACACACACACACATGCAGACACACACACACACACATGCAGACACACCACACACACACATGCAGACACACACACACACGCAGACACACACACACACACACGCAGACACACACACACGCAGACACACACACGTAGACACACACACACAGACACACACACACGCAGACACACACACACACACACACGCAGACACACACACACACACACACACACACACACACACGCAGACACACTCATGCAGACACACACACACACACACACACACACACACACACACACACACACACACACACACACACACACACACACACACCAGAGCGAGCCCTTGGTTTACCCGAAGGTGTAGGGAGGCAAAAACTAAGTGCACTAGAGAATGGTAAAAGTACAGAAGGCAAAGGACCCAGGAAAATAAGGAGATTAGTTGAAGAGCCGGAAACGAGTATGCACAGATGGGAAGGTAGGCCCAGTGACAGTACTAAAACAACATAGCATTGAAAGTCAAGTCTGACCTGAAACTACTGTATAGCCACATCAGGAGGAAGACAACAGTCAAAGATCGGGTGATCAGGCTGAGGAAAGAAGGTAGGAAACTCACAATAAACGATCAAGAGGTATGTGAGGAGCTCAGCCTGATGAATCTACAATAATGTAGTAGACAGAAATTTATTTAATCTAATAAATCAACCATCGTGTAGTAGACGTTTAATCTAATAAACCAACAATTGTGTAGTCAATTCACTTTAAACATAGCAAGTTGGGTAGTTTATAGGGTTTCGACTTGAGACTAATCATCAAATATACATAAGCTGGAAATTTATCTTCTGTTCCCAGGTTGATCTGTCCGAACCCATTCTCTCTCGATTTGATATATTGTGTGTAGTTCGTGACACTGTGGACCCCATACAAGATGAGCACCTCGCACGTTTTGTTGTTGGTTCCCACATTCGCCACCACCCTGGAGCTACTGCTGCTGATGCTGCTACTGCCAACCCTGTGGTAATTATCACCTTGTCAGGTAACTGAACACTTGCAACTATTGATATTTATTGTGGCAACTTTTCACACTCCAGGAACTTTGTTAAGCTGTCATAAATATTACAAACTTTTCACCTCACGTGAAATCTGTACAGGAGGACCCAGGTTGCCAGCTTGTGTGGCTCTTAGGTTGTCGAATGTGTGGCAATCTTGTACTCTGTATAGTTTAGTTATAATCTTATACTCTGTATGTATAGTTTAATGTATGAATCAAACTTGCAAACAAGTAATATGGGTATTGAATGTCACCATTAATGTGTGCACTTCTGGGAAATTGTCTAGACATTGCATGAGTGATGGTGAATTTGTTTCATTTATGACTCCTGAAATCATGACACAATTGCAAACAAACCACGGTATGGTCGGGGATTGAACTCGTGGTGAGAGAGTCATGAAACTTCAGACTGATGCGTTTGCCACTGGGCCAGTGGCTAAGGTGTCGGTCTGGAATTTTGTGACTCGCTCGCCGTGAGTTCAATCCCTGTCTGTATCGTGGTTTGTTTCCTTTATTTTGGGTCACCTTACCTACAAGAGAGACAGCTGAGGTTATGAATATGCAATTTAAATTTTGGTTAACCCATTGAGGGTCCGTGCCGTAGATCTACAGCTTTTCGTTGAGGGTCCAAACCGTAGATCTACGTCATGAGCTCAGCTCACTTTGATAAGCTGTGAGCAGTAAATTTTGGCCTTCATATGAGAGAATACATCTATGTGGTATGTGTGCACCACATAAAATGAATCCTACAGCACATAGTGCATAATGAGAAAAAACTGAGACCATAATTTTCTATTAAAACAGCGACTTTGCAGTGTTTTTTCGTATGTTTTTTATAGTTGTATTTGTGATTTCTTGGTCATATTTGATAGAATGGAAGACATATTGCAGAAATAGAGATGATTTTGATTGGTTTCTAGTACTGGAAATGGCTTGAAACTGAGCTCAAAGTAGCAGAAATGTTAAATTTTTGCCAATGTTAAAGAGTAAACAAATGACCTCACACATCTAATACACGCCTGCTGGTGGGTCTGATATACGTTCACAAATGTGCTGATATTATTTATACAATTTTTACAATATTGCATAACAGTAAATCTTCTATTTTTTGGTTTGAATAAAAATTCATTATGTGAATAAAAAATTAAAATGGAATTCATTAGTAAAACCTGAAAACATAACTAATGAACAGAGGAAATGTTAGTTTAGTGCCAGGAATGCCCGCATTGTTTATTCTGGACCCTATTTTGAAATTAGATTATTTTGAACTTTGCGTGAAATTGGCCAAATTACCAATTTCCAATCCCTTTATTTTGTAGTTGAAACAGTTGACTTGGTGATTTTTTTTTACACAGGGTTTGACAATGTTAAGGATCCCTAGCTTTATTGACAGCTATTTACAGGTTAAGGATTCCTAACTTATTGGCAAGCTAAGAGCTTTTTACCTACATCAGCTCATTTGAAAGCATTTTTATTGTTATGAGACATACAAGTAGGGAACAGGATGAAGTTGGAGCCATCTGTGGGCCAGCATTTTCATTTGATCAACTGACTTTATCTCGTTGACATCATTATGCTGTACCAATGTGTTCCATACTTGAGTCATCCTGGGTATGTATGATCTCAGATGGAGTGATGTTCTGGAGAAGGGTACATACAGCCAGAGTGAAGTTGCTGCTTTCTGCCCGTCTTGTGGCTCAATAGATAGAATAGAAGTAATACTAGTGAAATAGCTAAGAGTTTGGTCGACTGGAATAATGTAATTGGCCTAAAATGGGAATCAAAGTCTGCAAAATCGCCGATGTGTAAATATCGCTGACGGCAAAATTCGCGAGAGCATAATTTTGTCAATTTTCTGTCAAATTTCGTACTTTTTTGTTTATTGCCTTCAGAAAAAGATTCTCTACCATTTCATAAGAAAAAATAACAAAATTATTTTTTGAAAATTATTGGACACTGGTGTATTCTTTGAAATTTGGCCTCTGGACCCTAAAAGGGTTAATACTGTTAATTTTTTTTTTTTTAGGATGGTTGTATGGTTGGAGGATCAGAACTTTCTGGTGTAGAGAAGATCCCACAAGAATTGTTGAAGAAATACATCATATATGGCCGGGAGAAAGTGCGACCTAAGTTGCATCAGATGGACCAAGACAAAGTTGCTAAGATGTACTCTGAGCTGAGAAGAGAATCCATGGCCACAGGTACAGTCCAGGGCAACCAGTTAGCAGGTGTTGAAGCCTGAAGAAGAGTACTGTTCTTGTACTCTTGAAGGATGGGTGGAAATGTTGGTCCTGGAGGAGGGAAGTACAATGCCTGTGTTCTTGAAGGTTGGGTGAGGATTGTAGTCCTAGAGGTGGGAAGTATTGTGACTGTACTCTTGAAGGATGGGTAGGGATTTTAATCCTGGAGAGGGTAAGTACTGTGCCTGTACTCTGGAAGGATGGGTGGGGATGTTAGTCCTGGAGAGGGTAAGTACTGTGCCTGTACTCTGGAAGGATGGGTGGGGATGTTAGTCCTGGAGCTGAGTTAGTCCTAGTATTGAGCTTTTTACTTTGCTAATGCATGATTTTGCTCTGTTAACTACTATTTGTATTCTGTTTTTTCAGAAAATTGAAAATCTATTATTTGCCTACTTTACCATTTACATTGGACCCTCAGCTAACAATATTAATCCATTCCAGAGAGCTCATTGTTAGACGAAATTATCGTTAGCCAAATTAATTTTCCCCATACGAAATAATGGAAATTTAATTAATCCGTTCCAGACAGCCAAAAGTATTAAAAAAAAGAAAAATTTCATGAAATAAATATACATTTCCCTACAAAGAAAACAATGAGACATCCACAATAACTATATAAATAATTGTTAAAATGACAGTAACCTTTATTGAAGAGTATTGATGAGTGATGAGACAATGTTTTTCTTGAACACTCTGGGATTTTCAGAGTGATACTTGAGAAAAGACTTCACTGAATTGTCTGAAGGTGCCCTGTTCCCTTCCTGGATTTCCGGGAAATGGGTGGAGTGCCCTTATGGTAATGGGTATACCTGTAGGTTCTGGGAGGTGGCGGCCGAATGAGGTATACCTTTGATGTACCTTTGAAGAGTTTCGAGAGTTTATCTACTCTAAACCTGGCCATGGGCCAGGCTCATCTCATGCTTGCCTGGTCAACCAGGCTGTTTCTGCTGGAGGCCTGCTGCCCCATATATCCATCACAGCCTGGTTGATCTGGCACCTGGTGGCAATAGTTGTCCAGTTTCCTCTTGTAGGCTTCTACACTGGTTCCAGCCATGTTTCTGATATCTTCTGGTAAGATGTTGAATAGTCTAGGACCCCGGATGTTGATACAGTGTTCCCTTATTGTCCCCACAGCACCCCTGCTCCTCACTGGGATTATTTTACACTTTCTCCCATATCTCTCACTCCAGTATGTTATGACAGTGTGCAGATTTGGAACCAAGCCCTAGAGTACCTTCCAGGTGTATATTATCATGTGCTCTCTCTCCTCCGCTCCAATGAATACATGTTCAAGACTTGCAGGCGTTCCCATTAGTTTAGATGCTTTACAGGCTCAGTGTGAGCTGTAAATGATCTCTGTATTTGTTGCGGGTCGGATATTTCTTCTGCTTTGTACAGGGCCATTAGCACTGAGCAATATTCTAAATGAGGGAGCACTAGTGATTTGAAGAGTGTCACCATCGGCATTATTTCCCTTGTTTTGAAAGTAATCAATACCCACCCTGTCATCTTCCTGGCTGGCATGATCTTTGTCTTGTTGTGGTCTTTAAAAGAAAGGCCCGCTGACATAATTATTCGTAGGTCTTTTACATGTTCCTTACGTTTTATTTGGTGTCCCTCTTGAGTTTTGTATATAGTGCTTCTTTTGAGTTCTTCATTCTTTCCATATCTAAGCAGCTGGAACTTATCGCCATTGAACGTCATGTTGTTCTCCACTGCCCACTGGAAAATCCTGTTTGTCTTTCTGTACTTTTTCAGTGTCCTCTACCTTACTGACTTTCATGCTTATTTTAGTGTCATCTGCAAATGATGATACAAAAGTGTGCTGGGTGTTTTTGTCTGTCTGCTATGAGGATGAGGAACAGCAGAGGTGCCAGGACAGTGCCTTGGGGCACTGAGCTTTTGACCTCGCTGATGCTGGATCTTGCCCTGTTCACTACTACTTTTTGTGTTCTGTGTGTTAGGAAACCGAAAATCCATCTGCCTACCTTCCCGGTAATGCCCATGGCCTTCATTTTGTGCACTATCACTCCATGATCACATTTGTCAAATGCCTTTGCAAAATCAGTGTAAATCACATCTGCGTTTTGGTCGTCTTCCAGTGCCTCCGTAATTCTGTCATAATGGTTCAGCAGCTGTGACAGACATGATTGTCCTGCTCTAAAACCATGCTGGTTCGGGTTAAGTTGGTTGTGCTGGTCCATGAAAATTGTAATCTGCCGTCTCATCACTCTTTCGAAGATTTTTACAATGTGAGAGGTTATGGCTACTGGTCTATAATTTTTAACTAGTGCTCTACTACCTCCCTTACGCAAAGGAGCTATGTCATCACTCTTTAAGGCCTTGGGTATTTTACCTAGCTCTAAGCTCTTCCTCCAAAGAATACTAAGGGCTCGTGCTAGTGGTACTTTGCACTTCTTTATAAATAGAGCATTCCATGAATCTGGTCCCGGTGCGGAGTGAGTGGGCACGTTTTCCATTTCTTTTTCGAAAACTATGGGATTTGTTCTGATGTCAGTTAGTTGGTCTGTGCGGCCTTCTGGAGTGAAAAATATTTCTGCATTTTCTACCTTGCTGTCATTTAGTGGGTTGCTGAACACCGACTCATACTGTTCTTTTAGGATTTCACTCATTTCCTGTTCCTCGTCAGTATACGAGTCTCCTCTCAGTAGTGGCCCAATTCTACAGGTAGTTTTTAGCTTGGATTTTGCATAGGAATAGAAATATTTTGGGTTTCTTGCAATATCCTGTATGGCCCTTTGTTCCCTTTGTACTTCTTCTGTGAGGTATGACATACTAAGTTTTTGCTCTAATTCAGTGATCTCTCTGCAAAGTCTATCTTTCCTCTCTTGTAGCATATTTGTGTTTTTAAGCAATTCAGTAACCCGTTTTCTTCTTCTGTACCATCTCCTACGCTCTCTCTATATCGAATCTTCTTCTGGGTTTCCTCAATGGTACGTGTTTCATATATACTTTGTATGCTTCTGTATTCAGCTTCTCTAGGCACTGGTGGGGATTTAGGATGCTCATGTCTGATTCCCAGAGTATGTCTGATAGCTCTTGGTTTTTTTTCTCAGTTCTATGGTTGTTAAAATTAAACTTACTGAACATCCCGTCTCTAACTTTAGTGACACAGTTTCCTACCCCTGAATTAATACTAGTTTGAACCTCTATGATGTTGTGATCAGTGTATATAGATTTTGTAACTGTTATATGTCTGATCAGTTTGATTTGTGGCGGGTTTCCGACTGCCCTTTCTTTTGTCTGCTGAGGTAGCTCGGTAGATGTTAGGCTGCTATCCCGGAGCACTGTGTGCGATTTGGAAAAGATGCGGAAATTGTTTGGTAAGTACAACTCCGGACCCAGCTTCCATTTTGTGGGTTGCTGGAGTTGATGTCGCAGAACCTCTAGAAGTTGCCACAGAAATCGGAACTGTTTTGTCCGTATCTCCCGAGGGCTTCACTTCTGTCCCTCATTTCTTGCATCTAAACCTAACAAAGAGCAATTGCCCTTAGATTTCTCCTCCAATGGATTGGAGCCATATAATGTTTCTTTACTCTTCGAGAATTGGAGTCCACACTTTCCATTTGCGGCCGTTGGCAATGGACCTGATGTCCACATCAGTATGCTACATCATCTCCATTCTATGGCCTTTCTCGTTCTTTTACATCTTTTCAATCTTATTTGTGAGTGAGGGGTTCTCCTCAACACTGGAAATTGGCTATTGTACTACCATTTCGCAAACCGGGCACCTCGGGGGCTTGACACCCTCTCACTATCGTCCATTGCCCTAACCAGCATGGTCTGCAAGGTGATGGAACGATTAATGAATAGATGTCCGACGTGGTTCTTAGAGACAATAGCCTTTCCCCTTGCCAATATGGGGTTTCGCAAAGGCCGCTCTACTTTAGACCCTTGCTCCACTTAGATATGTATATTCAGAATGCTTTTGCTAACATCCACTCTGTCCCAGCAGTCTTTTTTGATCTGGAGAAGGCATATGACACCACTTAGAGGTATAACATTCTAGCCCAAGCCCACTCCTTAGACCTCCGCGGTAATCTGCCAAACTTTGCTGCTTTCTTGTCTGATAGACATTTTTGGGTCCGTATTGGCGCCTCGCTTTCCTTGGACTTCGTACAAGCCAAGGGGGTCCCATGAGGTTGTGTGTCCTCAGCACTACTCTTTTTCTCTTGGCTATAAATGACCCACCTTTCGTTCTTCCTTTGCATTTTTTTGGGTTTTCACTTTATGCTGATTACTTCGCTATAGCTTACTTGGGCGCTGACTGTCGACTGGTAGCAGCCTCCCATCAGGTTGTAATAGACTGAATCTCCCATTGAACCACTTCTCGTGGCTTTAAATTTTCTAGTACAAAAACCCGATTCATTACTTTCACTAGATGTCCACTTATTCCAGATACTCCCTTGTACTTACGCGGTTCACGTATTCCAGCATGTGATATGGTCAAGTTTCTAGGCCTGCTCTTTGATTGCTGGATGACGTGGAGACCTCACATTTCTTCTTTAAAGACACCTTGCCATAGTGGGCATGGGGAGCAGATCAGCACACACTCCTCCGTTTGCATTCCACCCTGGTCTTGTCAAAGCTAGATTATGGTGACCAAATCTATTCTGCGGCCTCTCCCCCCAACTCTAAGTTAGATGCCATTCATTACCAAGGTCTCCATCTGTGCCTTGGTGCCTTTCGTTCATTCCCTGTTGAGAGCCTCTATGCAGAAGTGAATATTCCATTCTTGTCCGATCACCGTGATGCTCATTGCCTTCGCTATTATGTTCAATCTCATGACCTCCAAAGTCCTTTCGTATATAGGATAGTCACTGATGTTAGTAGACATTCTTTATTTGTTCATCGCCCCTGTTTACTCTGGTCCCTTTTCTCTCTGCTCCATTCGCTCTTGTCTTTCTTCAGTTACCACCTTTCTATGTTCATCTAGCATCTTACTTTTCCCTGCCCCTTGGGAAGTTCCAGCTGTTCGTGTCTGTTCTTCTCCACTGCCATGTGCGAAAGCCCAACTACCTACAATGGCTTCCCGCTCTTTTTCTTGACCACTTCCCTCTCATTCTAATGCCATCACCGTGTACACCGATGGTTCTAAGTCTTCTGATGGCGTCAGATTCACAGCAGCGTTTCCGCACAGTGTTGTGCGAGAGCATTTTTACGGCTGAATTGTATGCCATTCTTGAAGCACTTATCCGTATTGCATCTATGCCTGTGTCACCATTTGTGGTTGTTTCAGACTCCTTAGTGCTTTAGAGGCTATAGGAAAATTTGATAAACCTCACCCCCTAATTCTTCGTATCCAACTTTGGTTATGTCGTATCTCTAGCAAACACAAAGATATTGTTTTTTGTTGGGTCCCTGATCATGTTGATGTACAGGGCAATGAACAGGCAGATACTGCTGTGCGGTCAGCAGTACGTGACCTCCCAGTCTCATATAGAGGTGTTCCATTCACGGACTACTTTGCTGTGATTGCTACCCACTTTGCACTCGTTGGCAACAACGAACAAACTTCATTCTATTAAACTGAGTATAGGTTTCTGGCCATCTCTTGTCATCACTGTTGAGGTGAGAGACTGCTCTCTCCTGTCTTCGCATCGGCCACACCCGTCTTACGGGTATCTCATGGAAAGGCACCTGTTTCCTCTCTGTGAGAATTGTCAAGTTCCAGTATCTGTTAGCCATATTCTGTTGGACTGCCCACTATCAACGAACATGCAGAATTTACCTCCATGTCATCTTGCTCGGGTGCCCTTTCTTTACCTTCCTATCTTGTTGATGGACCCTCCTTTAATCCCCCAAAGCTTT